GCTATGAATCTTTACAATCTAGGCCTCAATGAGTCCAGAGGCCTGTAGAACTTTAGAAACAGCCGGTATAAGATAATTGGCATAGTCCCAGAGATGATAATCTCTTACAAGCTTTGTGTTGGGTGGGTATGTAAAGTTTTTAAAGTGGTACATGCGAGCGATGGAGTTGTTCACTCGGACCGTGGGGCTTCTGTTCACACTTTCCAGCAAGCCATGGACAGTAGCCTTCAAAACCAGCCGAGGATTTACTATAATCTTGTAATTGTTGAACGTATTAGGGAGGTTGGGTACTCGATCGATATAATTTAAAATATTCACTCCCTGTATGTTTTTCCATTTGTCTTGCTCATAATCCGCATGAGCCTTTGCGGTGAACGGGAACTGGTTATTCTCAAACTCAAAGCCCACATTAGAACTGTACTTGATCTTAAGCTCAGGCAACAGCTCCGTCCAGGATTTCAGTTTTAAAGGCAGAATGAGCTCATCCAAGTCATGTAGAGCCACATAGCGACTTTGGTACATGTAACGATAAACACAGTCATTAAGCGCAGGGATCTGCCCATAGTACTGCAGCTGACCTGGCGACTTATTTATATTCCAGCCGCGAGACACTTTAATGTGCTTTTTAATCGTCCACGGAATGATCTCCACGAAACCTTTTTTCTCATAATAGTCCAGAACCTTCTGTGTGTGTGAATCGCAGTTGGTTTTATATATCACCACCCTTTGAGCGCCAAGCAGTCTGAACATCTCCATGGACTGGACTAGATTCAGCACACTCTTGTAGTCGTACATGACAGAGATGCAGATTGTGAACTCATACGGGAAGGTCGTTGGAACGTCTCTGTTTCTAATAGGTTGGAAGGATGTTAGGCTCCCTGAGACGCCACTTGCTGTGATTGCAACATGCGTCGGTGTCAAACATGTGCTTTTGATTGTGCACATGATAGTAGCGGTGCCATATTCAAAGTTAAAGTGGTCGTCATGAATTGAGCATTCAGCTGGTAACCTCACGGTCGTCCCATCGCAGCACATCACACAACTGAACGTCGCCTGCTCACGTCGAAGAACAATGGCAATCGTCTTTATCTGTTTCTCACCAAAACGATGCTCCAAGTAAGAGCCGATCACGTATGTGTTAAGATGCCCGACTTTAACCAAAGGCCCATCCTTCACTTGAACACCACACGCCTTTGCAGACGGAGGACTGGCGGATGTGTATATGTGTGGTGTTTGGAGGATTGGTAAAGGATGAGTTGGCAGGTCAGAGTCTTCTGGTTTGGCATAAGGTGCTTCGGAGGAATCTTGTACATAAATGAAGACAATAAAGAAAAGCGCAAATAATAAGCAATAAAAATAAAAGATCTTCAATGCACAGATCTTCTTCTTAGAAGGCTTTGCTTCTGATTCACTCTCTAGTCGTTCATATTTCACATCGCGTTTCCCTAAAGAAAAGAAAGAACACAAATTGTATGGTTGTGTCTATTAAAGCAACACAATTGAACAT